TAGTACCCTAAAGGAAAAACTAATCGAAGAAGAAAATCAAGTCAAGTTAAATTAAATAAAAAAGAAAAGATAAAGATGGCTGGGAATACAAAACATGTCTCAATAATAACCCTGAATGTCAATGGCTTAAACTCACCAATAAAAAGACATAGGCTAGAAAATTGGATTAAAAAAAACTCAACAATATGCTGCCTCTATGAGACTCATCTGATAGAAAAAGACATCCACAGACTGAAGATGAAAGGTTGGGAAAAATCATACACTCAAATGGACTGCAGAAGCAAGCAGGGGTTTCTATCCTCATATCAAATAAAGTAGACTTCAAGCGAAAGTTAATCAAAAGGGAAAAAGATGGAAATTACATATTGCTCAAGTGAACCATACCAACAAGCCATAACAATCATAAATATATATTTCCCAAACAATGGAGCAGCTATGTTCCTCAAACAAATTTTTCTCAAATTCAAGAGCCAAATTGACCAAAACATGATAATCTTGGGCAACTGTAACACACCTCTCTCATACCTGGATAGATCTTCCAAACAAAAAATGAATAAAAAACTATATATCTCGATAATACAATTAATAACTTTGACTTAAGTGACATATATAGAATATTTCAACCTGCATCAAGTGGATAAACCTTCTTCTCAGCAGCACATGGATGCTTCTCTAAAATAAACCAAATAATATGCCACAAAACAACTCTTAGCAAATACAACAGAGTAGAGATACTACCCTGCATTTTATCAGCTCATAATGGAATGAAATTGAAAATCAATGACAAAATAAAAATTCCTCCAACATCTGGACTGAACAATATGCTACTGAATGAGCAATGAGTTGCAGATGACATCAAGGAGGAAATTTAAAATTTTCTAGAGGTAAATGAGAACATAGACACAACATATTCAAATCTCTGGGAAACTATGAAGGCAGCACTAAGAGGAAAGTTTATTGCAAGGAGTTAATTCCTTAAAATAAGAAAAAGTCAACAAATGAATGACCTCACACTACATCTTAAAGCCCTAGAAAAAGAAGAGCAAATCAACACCAAAAGCAGTAGAAGAGAAGAAATAACCAAAATTAGAGCTGAATTCAATGAAATCAAAGCAAAAGAAACAACTAAAAAAACTGACAAAACAAGAAGTTGGTGCTTTGAAAAAATAAATAAAATTGACAGACCCTTAGTTATGCTAATGAGGAGAAGGAGAGAGAAAACTCAAATTACCAGCATATGTGATAAAAAAGGTAATATCACAACTGATACTACAGAAACACAAAGGATAATTAGAAATTATTTTGAAACCATATACTCCAATAAAGTAGAAGCTATTGAAGGCATTGGCAAATTCCTTAAGTCATACAATCTGCCTAGAATGAACCAGGATGATATACACAATTTGAGCAGACCAATATCAAGTGATGAAATGGAATACACCACCAGACGTCTGTCAACCAAGAAAAGCCTAGGACTGGATGGATACATAGCCAAATCCTACAAGACCTTTAAGGAAGAAGTAACACCAATACTCTTCAATTTATTTCACTAAATATAAAAAAGAGAGAGCACTCCCATACTGATTCTATGGTGCCAATATTATCCTGATTACAAAACCAGGCAAAGATACATCAAACAAAAAAAATCTTTAGCCGATATCTCTAATGAACATAGATGCAAACATTTTCAATAAAATTCTGGCAAATAAAATACAAAAACATGTCAAAAATATTGTACACCAAGATCAAGTGGGAATTGATCCCAGGGATACAATGTTGGTTCAACATGTGAAACTCAATAAATGTAATTCATCACACCAATAGACTTAAAGATAAAAATCATATGATCATGTCATTAGATGTAGAAAAAGCATTTGACAAAATACAGCACCCCTTCATGTTCAAAATACCAGGGAAACTAGGGATAATAGGAACATATCCCAACATCATAAAGGCTATCTCTGCTAAGCCCCAGGCCAACATCATTCTAAATGGAGAAAATTGAAGGCATTGCCTCTAAAAACTGAAACAAGACCGTGATGCCCTCTTTCACCACTTCTATTTAATATAGTTCTTGAAACATTGGCCAGAGCAATTAGACAGATGAAAACAATTAAAGAGTTACATGGGAAAACAAAAACTCAAATGGGCACTAATTGACGAAAATATGATTTTATACCTAGAAGATCCAAAAAGCTCCACCAGAAAACTTCTAGAACTAGTAAATGAATTCAGCAAAGTATCAGGATATAAAATCAACACTCATAAATTAAAGGCATTTCTGTATATCAGTGACAAATACTCTGAGAGAGAAGTGAGGAAAACTACCCCATTTACAATAGACATAATCAAGGACTAGCCCCTGTCATGGCCAAAGAAGCACAGGCTGCTTTTCCCTGTGGAAAGTTGTGAATGTTGGGACATGAGGTGCATTAATCATTGCCACTCTTTACTTCACAGAAAGGAGACTCTTTTTTTTTTTTTTTGGCCTGGTTCAGATGGAGAAAAATGTTACTGTGACATTCTTTACATTTTGGCTATAACTTCTTTAAGATTGATTTTTTATATATTTTAATAGTAAGTAAATTGACAAATTATGTATCACAGTGTTTACAAGTAGGTTCTACACTGTTCTGAACAATAGCAAATTATATAAGAATAAGTAATCTCCAGATTTTATAGGTTTGCTTTGGTGACAGTATTTAATATAGGTAATTGACATATGGGATGATTCTTTAAAATATATAACCACGAATGAGTTTAGCAAATATATTGAATTATATTTAATCATTAAAAGATGCATTGATGAAATAACACAATCTATGAAGGAACCCTTGAAATGATATGGTAAGTCACAGAAATATACCTTACAAAATAACTCAGCTTCTAATAATGCAATAGAAAGGTAGACAGAGTAACTTGTAAAGTTCAAATATGAAGAGGATTGTATCTAATTAAGAACCATGATCAATGAAATTAGGATGATGCTGAATGGCATCTTTATAATTTCCCTGACAACAACTGTCTTTGCATTACTCTCCTCACAGCTTCCTTTACCTGTTTGTTTCTGAGACTGTGGAGGAGAGGATTCAGGAAGGAAGGAACTACGGTGTAAAAGGCACACAGAACCATGTCCTGGAGGGTGTCAGAGGTTGCTGAGGACCTCAGGAACACACCTGAGCCAGAACTGAGGAAAATGGACACCAGGAGAATGTGAGGGGTGCAGGTGGAGAAGACTTTCCCTGGGGCTCTGGTGGGAAATTTTAGCACAGCAGAAAATATGTGAATGTATGACATGGCAATAAATGTAAAGTAACCACCACAAATGACCACAGCATAGACAAGAATAAGAAACTTGTTGCTGGTGGTGTCAGAGCAGGAAAACCTCAGCAGAGAGAGGATGTCACAGAAGAACTGGTGGACCGTGTTTGACTGGCAGAAGGAAAGCCGGAATGTGTTCCCTGTGTGCACACCTGAGTACAGCAGACCACTGAGCAGGGAAGCCCAGGTCATGCGGACACAAAACTGAGGATCCATTGGAGGGGCTGGCAGATGGCCACATAGCAGTCCCAGGCCATGATGGAGAGAATCAAAACACCTACGTATGCACAAAAAAGGACCAAGAAGATCTGTGTTGCATAACAAGTCACTGAAATGACCCAGTTGATAATGAAAGAGTTGACAAAGGCATTGGGGACAGTGATGGAAATGAAGCATATGTCCAAGATGGGCAGGTTCCTGAGGAAGAAGTACATGGGCATATGCAGATTCTGTTCATCAGTGGTGACCATGATGATGAGAAGGTTTCCTAACAAGGTAGGAAACCTCTATTTCACAGTATTCCCAAGTAGGTCACTGGGAATACTGTGAAATAGAGGAAACTCAGATCCTAGCCATCAGGAGAGCCCAGGAGGAGAAATTCAGTCACCATGGTGGCATTGGCCATTTGCTGGAAATTCTGGTTGCCTGGTAAGATAAATAGATGAAAGAGGAAGGAAAAAATAATTAATACAATTATTTTACATTTTTATGTCCAGAGTGTTTTCTTGTATTTCACATTAGCTTTCCCTGCAAAGGAAAGGTCACTCTTCTTTTTCTGATATTTTTAATCATTTTTAACCATAGTGCATCTCCCAGTGCAGGTGTGGAGGCCTTCAGCCCATGGTCTACGTGTGGCCTTCAGGGCTTGTCTTCAGTTTCCCCATCAAGGCTCCTCTAACCTCCTGAGACTCTTAAGCAGAGCACTAGCAAGTATTGGTCACCTTCTCTCCTGTTTGATCACCTGTGTGACAATACGTTCTTTAATGCTCTGTAATTTTATTACCTCATTGCCTTCCATAAATGCAATTTCACCACTTTTTTTGCCTTTGTATCCACACTAAATAATTCAAATTATAATTTATAAATATTTTTGTAAGAATGGTGTCAGAGACTTTATCATCACGAACATGAAAAACTCACACATGCTCAGCCAGACCTGTTTCAGCTCCCCCAGGGGCTATTTTTCTCTCAAGTAGATCAGTGTAAGGACTTTAGAGGCTGACATTCTACTAAACTTCTACTTTTTACCTTAATATGTTTTTACTCAGTGATCAGCACCATGAAGTTGAAGATTCCTTTGTTTAGACAATCATTGTCCCTTTTCTTTTTGACACCTCCCTTATATACCAATCTTCTTAAAGTTATCATAAGTGTACAGAACGTTACTGACTGCATACCCTACAAGGAACGTTTTGCTCATAGTTATAGCACTCCTGCAGCACTTCAGACTGGTTCAATCCTTTGTCACCAAAATCATTATCTCCTCAGCCCTCTGCAACCTGGGTCTACCTTAGCACCTTCCCATGTTAACAACACTCACCCTTAGAAAAGAGACCTTCCAAAAAAAAAAAAAAAAGAAAAGAAAAGAGACCTTCCTGCTGAGCCTGCCTGGGCTCCTTTGAAAATGCATGTGTCCCCCAATGTCATTGGTGGGTGGCCAGACTCGTGAACATTACTGTTAATTTCACAGTGTGGGTGAAGTTAAGGTGTCCTACTTAATCTACCTACAATCTTTTGCTAGCCCCATCCCCCATTCTTCCCTGACACAAACCTGAACTCACACGTCGGTGACTTCCTTGTTCACACCATATCCTGGAACTTGTTGACAGAGCCCCTTTTCTACCAAGCCATAACTGATTTAATTTACCCTATTAGTATATACTGCTCTTTAAAGAGGGTAAAATGTAACTTTTTCTCTGAAACCCTTTCTTAGTCTTTAATTTTTCTTATATTTTTCTGTTAATGTTAGAAGTCAACATATTATTTTACCTTTTAGTAAATCTATATGTACTAATCACCCAAATCACTTGTATAAATTCCTTGATTTTGGACCTTGTATCATTCATCTTTTTATTCTCTTAGTAGCAAGTAAGTGACTTCATGCATAGTAGTTAATAAAAATGCAATGTAGCACAATTGACTAACTGCTAATATGAGCTAAGTTTCTTGTTGTAACTTTTTCTCTGAAACCCTTTCTTAGTCTTTAATTTTTCTGTTAGTGTTAGAAGTCAACATGTTATTATACCTTTTAGTAAATCTATATGTACTAATCACTCAAATCACTGGTATAAATTCCTTGATTTTAGCAAGTAAGTGACTTCATGCATAGTAGTTAATAAAAATGCAATGTAGCACAATTGACTAACTGCTAATATGAACTAAGTTTCTTGATTCCACTAATTTACAAGTGAGTACCTTCTAAATCAGTGATGTCCTTTCTTCACTTCTGTAAGAATACAGTGTGTGTTCATTTGAAATAACATACCCCCACTTCTATGCAGAAAGATGATTTTAAAGCAGGCAATCTTGACAAATATTTACTAATGGTTTATAATATGGCAAAATCTGCTGCAGATACTGAGTTTTAGTAAAACATTGTCTTTTAAAAAACATGATTTGAGTACTCTGAAGGAAAAAACATAAAATGGTACATATATAAAAATTCAAATTAATATGAAAAATTCTGTATTTGATATATGATGATACTAACTAATAAGGAAATCTGCCAAAGTTTTTACCCTTTAACCTGGATTCCAAGAGCTATAGGAGCTCCTGTTGATCACCTCAGGACATCCTGTCACATACAGATGGGACATCAACATGGGTTCAAATCTAGAAGATGCATAAAACTACAGAGACATTTTCTTTCTTTATTATTGTTTACTACACTAAGGCAAATACTGCCTTTCCTTCTCCAATAGAACTCATCAAATTCTCCACAAACCAGTTTGAGGCTTAACTTACTTGATGTCCTCCTTTGTGTGATTTAGCTTTTGTTTGATAAATTCTCCTGAATTTGTCTTTCTTTTTTTATGTATCAACCTTCAAAAACTTCCATTTATGGAGCACCAATCCAAAGTCATGTATAAATACAATAAAATAAATGTACAAAGCACCGCCTAATTTTTACAGAGAGCCTCAGATAATTTCAGTAGATTCTAAAGATAGAATGACTTTTTGAACCTAGATTTTTAAAATAAAAGTAGGGCTTAGATTGCATAGATTGGCCTTAATATTTTGGTGTGATTCATTTCTACATTCTCATTAAAGGAGCAAAAATGCCTATAGAGAATTCTCTCATAAAGACAATAAAATTCAGGTATAAATAACAGAAAGGGTTGGTAGAAGTGAGAGTCAGCACAATGTGTGTGACGAGAACTAGCATTTTTTAACTCCAGGAACATGAAGAGGGACTGCCCAGGTGCTTTCTCTGTAAGTGGTAAAAGCTGAGAGTTTTCTCTTTTTAATTTCTGTTGATAGTGTTTCAAATAATGAATTACAAAATAAAAAAGAACACTTCAAAACTGCAAATATTATTTGGTTTGGAAGACATAAGAATAAATTATTTTCTAAATTATATTTTCCATATTAGGAATTATTGACTAGTGTCTCTGATAAGTCATTAAAAATGCTGAGGTACATATATTCTGAAAATAAAAATATGCTTCCAAATGTTACGCAACTTTATTTTTATATTTATACCACTGGACACACACATCCTCATAGTCATAGGTAACATATATTTAGTATAAAAAATTAAGAATATAATTGAAAGCTTGGGTATGGTGGTGCATGCCTATAATCCCAGCAGCACAGGAGGCTGAGACAAGAAGATTTCAAGTTCAAAGCTAGCCTCAGCAACTTGTCAAGACCCTGTCTCAGAATAAATGTTCAAAAGGGCTGGGATGTTGCTCAATGATTAGGCAGCCCTGAGTTCAATCCCTGTCACCAAACAAACAAAGAAATAATTGAAAACATGTATTTGTGAACAAAAGAAAGGAGTGAGATTAATGTTCAAAATATTTCAATGAATCTTGCCTACTACATTAAATATATTTCCCAGTTATTGACTTAGGTGCATGTGTATCAGCTATGTAAAATCATTCCTATCTACCTACCTATCCTATACCATGTTTTGCATTTTATTCTTGTTGTCTTAATGTGAATATTTTTATTAGTCTTCTATGGAATTTTTGTGCAAACTACTTTGGGTGTTATCTAAGTGTATTAAAAGTTAAAGTAATCTGAAGAAAAGAATTTTAAACCAACAAGAAGCAACACAAAGAACTATTACACACTTTACTTCCATATACCATGCAGATGTCCCCAAGGTCCCTGTGTTCCTATTAAAGCCATGGCAATCACAGCAAACACCATAATGTAGTTATAAGGACCTCTGTGCTTCCTGTGCTCTTCTCAGAATTCACCAAACCCTTCCTGGGCTAGCTGACTCTTTGGATGAAATTGCAATTTTCAGAGCAGAATAATTATGAATCTTAGATGTATTTGGACTCTAAATGCAAGTCCTCACTACTGAGTGTCTCCTATTCTCCATGATGGTGCAGAACTACATCTCTCCTTGGCTTCTCCCATCCACTGTGACTGCAGCCAGGGTGGATCTGTCCAGTCAGCCCACTGCCATGTAGGATGTTGGGAGCTTGATCACCACTGCTTTATGTGAGCATGGTGCCTAGATGTGAGCATGGTGCCTAGCCAGTGGGAACAGGGCTCCTGGGAGCCCAGAGCTCAGCCTGCAGAGACAGCAGGAGGCTTGAGCACACCACCAGGCAGTGAAACCTGCAGAACCCAGGAGAGAGGACCTGGCCACATGCCAGTATGGACAGTGGATGACACACAGAAATTCCTTCGCTGGGCATTGACTTTAGTCATTATTGAGAAACTAATGACACTGAGGAGAGACTGATGGTGCTCACTGTGTGTTTTCATCTCTGCCCTCCTTCACCTCAGTGTAAGTTAGTGGTAGGTGTTTGTATGGATTAGTTAAAATTAAGTGTGGTGGGCAGCTCTCACTCATTCACCAACCTGTAAGAGGAAAACATCTAAAACTACATCCAGTTCAGCAGCAAAAAAATTTCATATCATTAAGATGAAATCCACATGATATAAAATTAACGTTTGTAACAGTTTATGGTTCTCAAGTCAGTGTGAGTTATCACACTGCATAATTGTATGATTTCCAGCTACATCTTTTTCCATAATACTTTTTACTTCAAATTGACCACCTAACCCATTACACACATTGTTCATATTATCCCTAATTGCAATCACTGGAAAACCCTAAATGTATTCTGTATCTTTGAATTTACATACTTGTGAAATTTCATATAAATAAAGTCACTCAGTATATGATGTGTATTCTGGCTGAAGTGAGCATAACATCATTGAAATTAGTCCACCTTGTAGTATGCATCATTTGTTCATTTCTGAAAGATTAAGGACAAACAATTATTTGCATACGCCAGAAATATTTTAATCAACATATCTATTGTGGACATATTTTTTTATTCTCTAGTATAATTTGACTGATTTGTTTGGTTATCTTATGTTTTGCCGTATTTGACTTCTCTGGTAAACACTCTACACTCTCTATGATTATGTTTAGAA